ATGGGGAGGCTTAAGGACCTGGCTACTTCCACCTCCAGGGCCAAGGCCATGCCAGGGATGTCCTGCAGGGAAATGCAAACTTTATGCTGGAGCCCAGGACAGGCTCAGGCAGGGGAACTGAAGGCAGGTGAGGTGGTGGATGACATTGGCAGAGCCCAGCCTGGAGGCGCCCATTCCTGCAGTGCCTCCAAACCCAGCTCTGAGCTGCTTTTTCCCATCTCCTGTCCCCAGATCCCTGGCAGGTTAAGGGTGAGGGACTGGCTGTGCCTGCTGCACAGCACAGCCAGATGCCCTTGCCAGCAGCACCGTCGCAGGAGATGCTCTGGCCCCAGGCAGGGCACAAGGACAGCACCCGAGAAACAGCACCAGGCACGGCAGGAGCACGACTGGACACTGCAGAAGTGTGGGGCCCCATGCCAGGACAAAGTGCAGCCTCAGCACGGCTCCAGCCACGGGCAAGCTCCCAATGGCTGAAGCCTCCTGCCGCCCTCACAGGGGTCCCCGTCGTCCCGCGGGGGCAGCATCCCTGGGCCTCTCAGCATTGGCACCAGGTCCAGTCCAAACCCTGGCTCGCCGGAGCTGGGTCCAGGCCAGTCCAAAGCTGCCGTGACGCGGGGCGCAGGAGAAGCTGTTTGTACAGCTGTGCACAGCACGGCAGCGCGAGCCAGCCCCAGGAACATGATGTTTAGAAAAGCACCGGCTAATTTGAGAGTGGATCTGCGCGAGCCGGGGCTGGGGGACGCGCGGCCCAGCTGCAGCCTGGCAGCAGAGAGGGATACGGGGCCGAGGGGAGGATGCTGGCTGCGTCCCCCACCTCTTGTTTGCCTTGTAAATGGACGTCAGGCTTCAATTAGCGGTGGGAATGATGTTCAAAGTGTGAAAGCGGCCCCGAAGCGCCTGGCCACGAGGCTGCCCCGTGGTGCCAGCAGCGGAGGCACCTGCCCGGGGCACAGAGCCCAGGCGGGCAGTGTGGGACCTGCGCTAGCAGCTGCGGAGGGGACAAAGGGCGCAGCAGCCCCCCCCCCGTGCCCTCCGTGCCCACAGCCCCACCGGCCCGACCTCTGCCCGCAGCCGCCCGCGGCGTCCCCGCTGCCAAACCCCGCGGACGCTCCGAGGCCGCCTCGGGAGAAGGGGGGGGGGGGGGGGAAACGGGGGCAAACGCAGCCGTTTGCGGGGAGCCACCGAAGCGGAGCCGGGGGCTCTCGGGGAGCGGCCGAGCACCGCGCCCGACGGCCGGGGCAGAGCCGCCGAGGCTGCGGGGCCCGGCGGGGCCGGCGGGGCAGTGCCCGGCGGCGGGGCCGACCGCGGGCGGAGGGCTCCCTCTCGAGGCCCCCGGCCAGCACTGCCCGCACCCACCGCGGGGCCGGCACCGAGCCCCGGGGGCCCCCACCGTCGGGGCGCCGGGGGCGAGCACCGGCAGCGAGCCCCCGGGGCTGCGGGGAGCCGGCAGCGAGCGGCGGGGCTGGGCCTGCCGCAGGCCAGCAGCGGGGTCACCGGTGAATTAGCAGCGCGGTACCGCTCCGGGCGACACCGCAGGCAGGGGACGTGTCCTCCACCTTGGCCACCAAAGGCCCCCAAAGGATGCTGCCAAGAGCACGCGGTCTGCGGTGGGCACGGCCGGTGGGACCGCTGCTAATGAGCTCCTCTCGTTAACCAGGGGGCTTCCTGTGCTGCCGACACCGCCACCAAGGCGGAGAGTGTCCCAGCAGCCCCCATGTGTCGTGTTGGCACCCTGTGCATTGTGTTGGTGCCCCACATGCCGTGTTGGTGCCCCGTGACAATCCTCGTCCTGCTCCCCATGCCGCCCCCAGAGCCAAGCAGCCGTGCTCCCGGTGTCTGACCCCCGTGCCCTTGGGACACGGACCCTGCGGCACGGCCACCCCGGGCAGCGGGTGGGCAGCTGGGGATCCGCGGCCAGGCCTGCACTGGGGGCTGCCCAGCACCAGGATGCCACCCGCGCCTTGTGGTGGCCCAGGACAGGAGCAGGCGGTGGCAGCGGACGCGGCGCTGCGGGGAGCCCAAGGTGCGAGGAGAGGGCCGGGACCCGGGACACGTGGCCGGGACACGGCGAGGCACGGGGCGGCCAAACAGCGGCGGTGGCACTGCGGGGACAGCGGCACCCGGCGGCCCCGGGACCCCCGGTGTCACCTCCCTGGGGCTCGCTGCCCCCTGCCCGGTGCCGGCGCTCTCCGTGTCGCCCCCCCGGGCCGCTCGCTCCCGCCCCGCGGCTCCCGCCCGAACCCCGGCGCGGCGGCGGCAGCCAATGGAGAGCAGGGGGTGTGTCCTCCGCCGCGCGCGGGGCCAATAGGGAGCTGGGGGCGTGCCCTGGGCGGGGCGCGGAGCCAATGGCGGCGCGGGGCGGGGCGGGGCGGGGCGGGGCGATGCTGCCGCCGGCGGGGGTGCGGGAGCGCGTCCGGGCCGTGCACGGCGGCGCGGCGCTGCCCGAGCTGCTGCGGCGCTACGACGGCTGGGCCGGCCGCTACGAGCAGGTGCGGGGCCGGGACCCGCCGGGACCCCCCGGCACCGGCACCGGGACCGGCACCGGGCCCCCCCCTCCGGCAGCGAGCTCTCCCGGCGCCCCGCCGCCCGCCCCGCTGACCGCCCCGTCCCGCAGGATGTGGCCGCGCTGGAGTACCGGGCGCCGCACCTGGCCGCCGCCTCGCTCGCCTTCGCCTTCCCCGCGCCGCCCGCCGGGGCGCGGGTGCTGGACGTGGGCTGCGGCACCGGGCTCGTAGCGCGGGAGGTACGGGACGGGACGGGACGGGGCGGGAGGAGCGGGGGTCCCGGAGGCCGCGCGGTAACGGCGCCGCCCGCCCATCCCCGCAGCTGCAGCGCCGCGGGTTCGGCTGCCTGCACGGCGTGGACGGCAGCGCGGGGATGCTGGAGCGGGCGCGGGGCACGGGGCTGTACCGGCAGCTGCAGCGCTGCGTGCTGGGCAGGGAGCCGCTGCCCGGGCCCGCAGGTAACGGCCGGCACCGGGGGGGCGGCGGCGGGGGCCGGCGGTGGTCCCTCCGGGGCGGTGACACGGGGCCCCCGCAGAGCACTACGACGCAGTGACGGTGGTGGGGGCTCTCGGCGAGGGGCAGGTGCCCTGCTCGGCGCTGCCGGAGCTGCTGCGCGTCACCAAGCCAGGTGAGGTGGCCCCGTGGGACGTGGTCCCCGTGGGACGGGTCCCCAGCCCGACCCCCGGTCTGGGTGCGGGTACGGGCAGGCCGGGACGTGGCCTCATCCCCACGGGCACGGGGTCACGCGCTGGTGTCCCGGCCAGCTGGGTCCAAGCCAGGGGTCGGGGCACTGGCGCTCCTGACCCGCTGCCACCCCCGGGTGACGTGGTGCAGCGGGGGCCTCGTCACCCTGTCCCCTGTCCGGGCAGGGGGCTTCCTGTGCCTGACCACCAGGAGCAACCCCTCGAACCTGCGCTACAAGGCGGAGCTGGAGGCAGCGCTGCAGCGGCTGGAGCAGCAGGGGGCCTGGCAGAAGGTCCTGGCGCAGGAGGTGGAGCGCTGGGAGAGAGCCACCGAGGAGGAGGAGAGCGTCCAGGGCACTGGCTACATCTCCGGCGTGGTCTACATCTATCGCAAGTGCCCCGTCCCGCCTCTCGAGGAGGGATGAGAGCTGAAAGGGCGCCAGGGAAGGGGGCTGAGCCTGGTGCCCTGCACAATGTCACCCTGCATGTCCCCTGCCCCACGCAGCTGTGCCACCCCCTTCCCACACAGCAGCGCTTCCAGAGCCCAAACTTCCCTGTTCCCTTCCCCATCTCCTCCCCTCGGGTCTGAGCCCTGGGGACCTGCTCCTCAGCTCGGGGAGGGCCTCCAGGTTTCATGGGGTCTACTGGGCACCTCCCTTAGCCCTGACATTCAGGTGCCTTGGTCTTTGTCTTTGCTGTCCCATCTCACAGCTCTTTGTGACATCTTTGCAGCTCCATCTGACTGGGCAGAGCCACCTCCTGTCTGGGCTGTCTCCTCCCCTCCGTGCCCACCTCCCACATGGCCATGGTCAAAATCTGGATCCTTCTTCATCTTCCCTGCTCCAGACCCCAGGCCTCTGCCTGGGGACTGTTGCTGATGGGTCCCCATCACCACGTCCTGCTGTCCCCTGTTCATCCCCCTCAGGAGCTAACCAGTGTGCCCTGAGGTGCCAGAGCCCCGTCTGAACCCGGAGCAGCTTTGCCAGCACAACACCCAGCTGGAGAAGCTTTCAGAGCACCACATCAGCCTTTCATCCCTGCTTAAGCTCTCATTTTCCTACAGCTTTGTAGTTAATGGTCTGGGTGGGAAATGAACCTGGAAGAGACCTCAGGAGTTGGTGGCTGCTCCCCACCCAGGAGCCACGCTGGCATCTCCTGCCCGTCCTGTTCCCCAAGCCCCTTGTGATGGTGCCTCCACCCCTACCTCCTCCAGTCCTTCCTTGGGAAGTTTTTTACCCAAATCTCTTGCTGGGATCTTTCTTTCTTCCTTCCCCAGACCTGTTGCTGCTTGTCCCGTTCCCATGGATGTGGGGATCGGGTGATCTTCCTCCCTGGAGCTCAGCCCCTCCAGGAGGTGGCAGCCCTGCAGTCTGCGCTGGGCTCTGGTTGTATCCAGTGCTCGGTGCCCATCCCGGTGAAACCAAACCAGGGGCTGAGCCCTGTGAGCCCTCACGCCTGTCCCAGGGCTTTGGACACAGCCAAGTGCCCCAGGCTGGGTGCTCTGAATGTGCTTTGAGGACCACAATACCCATAGTAAAAATGGGCACTTGTCACCCCTCCTGGCTGGTCTGTGTTGTCCCCCCATGTCCTGGTGTTGTGGTGCCCACCTCACCTCTGTGTCACAGGCACTGTCCCCTTGTCCCCAGTGCTGCCCCGACCAAGGGGCCATGGCTGTCCCCATCCCATGCTTGGCTGTCAAATAAACCTTGCCTTTGCTGCACGTTTGTGGTGTGTTATTCCCTTGCATGGGGCTGCTGGCTGTCCTGCAGGGTGGGGAGGGTGGTCCCCCCTCTTCCTGCCTCAGTTTCCCTGCTCCTGCATGGGGAGCACCCTGGCTGGCAACTGCTGCATCCTCATGGGGATGTGGGGACAGGACAGGGGTCAGGACAGCCCCTCCCCGAGCTGGCCACAGGGGTGTGAGAGCCACAGGAATTGTCACCATCCCCCCGCAACGCAGCTTAGAAATGAGCCCAGGCAGCTTCGGTGGCACCGAGAACTTTATGGGGGCTGGGAGCCGGCGGCAGCACCCAGCACGAACACAGCCCCTGCCTGCATCCTGGGGGCGGTGGGCAGGATCCGTCCCCTCACCCAAGGGGAGCAGGGCTGGCAGCGGGACGGGGCCACACATTGTCACAGCCTGCAGACAGGGCAAAGCGCCGGGGGGCCGGGATGGGGACTCAGCTGTTGTGGGAATGGGGCGTGTGGGCAGGGGGTGCTGGATCTGGACAGGCTGGGCACCATGGGCCTGTCCCCAGGATGGGCAGCTCACACATAGTCTTTCATGGGGTAGCCCATGGGGCTGCAGCTCTTCACCGCTCGGTACTTCCTGGGGTAGTGATCCCGCTGGGATGGGGGCCCTGAGCAGCACAGGATGCCCCCGCCGAAGAGCTGGAGGGCACTGGAGGCCCAGCCGATGTAGAGGGCAGCCCCCAGCTCTCTCTTCAGGGCCTCGGGCACCATAGGGTTGTAGAAGTTGGTGACGATGCTGTTGGCGGACCAGGACACGGGGATGAGCAGCACGATGCCAGCCAGGACAAAGATGGCACCTGCCACGATGGAGACGCGCGTCTTGGAGTTCTTGTCCTCCACACAGCGGGTGCAGTCGGCACCCGAGATGGCGGTGAGGAGGGCGAAGAAGGCCACGATGATGGAGGTGACCACCAGGGCACGGGCAGCTTGCAGGTCGGAGGTGAGGTCCAGCAGGGAGTCATAGACCTTGCACTGCATCTGCCCCGTGCTCTCATACACACAGTTCATCCACAGCCCTTCCCAGAAGACCTGGGCCACCACGATGTTGTAGCCGATGAAGGCCGTCACCTTCCACATGGGCAGGGCACAGGTGAGGATGGAGCCCAGCCAGCCCAACACGGCCAGCACCAGCCCGCCCAGCTGCATCGTCATCGTCGCCATCGCCAGCACCTGCGGGGACAGGGCACAGCCATCACATGCGGGGTCCCAGAGCCGGGCCGGAGCTGGGAAGGGTGGTGCCTTTGGGCTGGGTGCATCCTGCTCCCATCCACGTGGGGACGGCTGCAGGCCAGCACGGGGACACACACGCTGCATGTGGCATTGCTGCAGAGCAGCACAGGGACACTTGTGCTGCAGACAGCACTGCTGCAGGCCTGCACGGGCACACAGACTGCCATGGGGAGACTGAGCTGCAGGAGCCTGGGCAAGTCGTGTTTTTACTCAAAATGTCCCCACAGCACAAGGCAGTCGTGTGTGGTTGCCCCATTCCAGCTGAACCATGCTAGTGCAGGGCACATTATGGGGGGGAAGGCTTTTGGGGAGAAGGACAGGGGCTCGCTGTGCCCATCAGGGTAGGGCTCCCACCCCACAGCTGCGCAGGGCTCTGCGCCTCCCGGCCCTGCCTCCTACAGGCTTCACTCTGCCCTCAGCAACCTTTGGACCTGGGGCTTCCCGTCTGGGGTGCTGGGAATGGGCGCGAGCCCAGGTCTGCCTCTGATACTGACTGCAGGGCTCAGCACTTTCAGAGATACCGGCCCCTTTTTCTCCAGACAAGCAGCACAGGGAGCCCAGGGATGAACTGGGGCTGGTCAAACCCTCACAGCTGACTACAGAGTGGGGCACCATGGACAGCTGGATAGAGGGGGTGCTGCTCCCTGGATAGGGGACACCAGGGGCACCAACCACTGTACCATGCCATGGTCCCTGGGCTCATCCCAAATCACTGCTCGGCCCCACGTGGAGCAGACCCTGGGCTGCCTGCACCTCCCCGCCAGGGGCCGGGACCTGTGCTTGGCAGCCAGGAGCAGCCGAGTTTTTATGGTCCCGGCGTGGCAGCGGGTATCGGCTGTGCCTGGCACACCCTGAGGCTGTTGGAGGTTTCACCGCAGTTTCTCCAGTCCTGGTTTCGGTTTCTGCGGCCTCTCCTGCACACCTGTGCTTCCGTCCTTCCCCGGACCTCTCACCCATTGGCACCCCAGCTGTGGCAGGCACCTTGCCGAGCTGGGGCTCTACGTTAGGCCTTTTAGGCTGAAAATAAAGTCCCTTTCTCCCAGAAAATGGAAGAGGCCAGGGGTTGGGATGATGGGAAGCCATCCTAGGTGACCTCTGCAGCCAGTGGGTCCCAGGCTGGTGGGGCGGCTCCAGCAAGTGTCACCATCCCCATGGATGTCTGCACCAGGGACTCACAGCGACCATAGCGCGACCATTCCTGCCCATCCACTGCCATTCCCAGCTCTGTGGGAGCGTTTGGGCTCCCCACTTCCATCCCCCCTCCCAGCAAAGGATGGGCACGAACCAGGAGCTCTCAAAGCCTCCAAACCCAAGGAGCACCCAGAGCCCCACAGCTCAGGAGCCCCCATGGTGGGCAGCACGTGTTGTCCCCATGCACTCTGAGTGCACACACACAACGTTCCCAGGGCTGGCCACAGGCCGGCCAAGCACCGGCAGGGTTTCAATGCTGGAAGACAAACAGGCAAAACACCCGGTGTCACCCACGCCGGCCCCAGGTGCTCTCGGGTGGCCCCGGGGCGCGGGGCCGTGCCAGCACACCCCTCCCGCCGTCCCACGTCCCGGCTGGCGCCCGCCACCTCCTTCCTGCTCGGCACGGCCGGTCGGGCAGGAGCAGCGCCCGGTGCCGGTCCCGATGCCTGGGGCCCTGCAATAGCGTGGGGCGGCCCCGCTGCCACGCCTGGCGCCGTGAAGGCATCTCACCTTCGAGGCACCCGCTGTCACCTCCAGGGGTCTCCCGGTGGCCCAGGAGGGGAACACGGCCGTGGCAGGGAGGCCAAGGCTGGACCAGGGGCGAAGAGAGCGGCTGGCCCCAGGCCCCAGCCCGGGGGAGGCTGGCGCTGTCCCTCTGGAGAGCAGATTTTGGGGTGTTTGAGGCTAGTGTTCTCCAGATGTGGGGTCCACAGTGGAGGCCCCACAGGCTGCCCCGCCACTGCGGCCAGAGGATAAAGACAACGGAGCACAGCGGGGTCCGAGCAGCTGCCGTTTAATGTGGGATGGCTGCGACACGGGAGCAGGCACTGCCACAGCCAGGGGTGCCGTGAGCCCCCCCCGGGCCACCCCGGCTCCTGCCCCACAGCAGGGGTGAGAAGCCCGGTGCAGAGCCCCGCACACCGCCCGCTCCCCTCCCGCCTCCCCGACCGGTTCTCCCAGCCCAGCCGCTGCCTTCCCACTCCCAGGATAATGATGCCCGCGCCCCGGGGAGCTGCCAAGAGAAATTCCACGCACATAGAGCTACACAAAAATGCCGAAAGTAGGTCAAAGTAAAACTACAAGGCACAGGGGGTCAGAGCACCCCAGCCACCCCTCAAGACCGTGCCGGGGTTTGCTGAGTCACCACGTCCCCTAACCACGTGGGATGGGTTTGCTGTCCTCGCTGCCCCGTGGTGATCTAAGGACACGTCCTGGGGTTTTCCCGGACTTCGCAGTGGCGTTTGGGTGAGTCCCCCGGCCAGAGCCGGAGCTGTGTGTCACCCGCGGGACGGGCACCCCGCAGCGCTCAGGGCCGTGTCACGGCACGGCACACCCCGATACCGGCAGCCGGGGCTCCTTCACCAAGGAGATGCTGCAGGTGCCCCCGAGCCGCGGGGGGGAGCGGGGCAGGCAGCCAGGACAGCAGCGTTTTGTTCCCCGTCCCGGACGGGATTAAAGAACCAGCTTCAATCCACAGGCGAACAAAGGCAGCTCTGTCTGCCCTCCCTCACACCGGCCCCTCCGCACCACCCCGGCACCCGGCCCCAACCCAGCCCCCCGTGGGGCCGTGGGGTGCCCTGGGGGCATCCCCCCCAGGATTCACCCGTGGCGGCTGGGTGGGCGCAGCAGGGCGGCGGTGGGTCTGGGTGGGAGAGGCGCCAGGACGCGTGCGGGGTGCTGGGAGCGGCTCCTAGACGTAGTTGCTGGCCGGCAGCGAGCGGGACGCCGTGTACTTGGCAGAGTAGGGCTTCTCGCCCCGCGGCGGGCAGGTGCAGCACAGGATGCCCCCCCCCAGCAGCAGCAGTGCGGAGGCCGCCCAGCCCACGTAGAGGGACGAGCCCAGGTCCCGCTTCTGGGACTCGGCAACCAGCGGGTTGTAGAAGTCCCGGATGATGGAGTTGGCCGACCAAGAGATGGGGATGAGGATCAGCACACCGGCGATGATGAAGGTGACCCCGGAGAGGATCATGACCTTGGCCTTGGCGGTCTCGTCCTCCACGCAGTTGGTGCACTTGCCGCCAGCAACAGCGAGCAGGGTGCCCAGCACAGCCAGCACGATGGCCACCACCACCAGCGCGCGGGCGGCCTGCAGGTCCTGCGGCAGCGCCAGCAGGGAGTCGTACACCCGGCACTGCATCTGCCCCGTGCTCTGCACCACGCAGTTCATCCACAGCCCTTCCCAGATGATCTGCGCCACCACGATGTTGTTGCCCACAAAAGCCGTCTCCCGCCACATGGGCAGCGCGCAGCAGAGGATGGAGGCCAGCCAGCCGATGACGGACAGAGCGATGCCCAGCACCTGCAGCCCCATGGAGGCCATCGCTCGCCGGCGCGTGCCTGCTGCCGCCGCGCAGTGCCGCCCGCCAGGACCATGGCGGGCGTTATATGCCCTCGCCGAGGGAGGAGCCATCCCGCCGGCACCGGACGAAGGGGTAAAACCAGTTTCCCGGGATTCCTCCTCTCGCATTTCTCCCCACAGCCATGACACCTAATATCCCTGCTGCTCCCACGGTGGCCAGGATGAGGCCACCCAGGTGCAGGATCGCAGCCACATGCTGCCCGTGGGCAGACGGGGAGATGCCCAGGTAGGGCCGGAGCTGGCCCTGCAGCTCAGCCTGGGGTGCTGTAGGGGAATAGACAGCATCCGGGATGGGGATTTCTCCACCGTCACTCCCGGCCCCTTCTTCTACATGACCAGGATGGATGCCTCCACACGTCTGTGCCCCAGTTTCTCCTCAGTGGCTGCTCCTGCCCCTGTCTGCCATAGGCCCCATGCCAGGGAGCAGCAGCTGTGCCAACCCTGCTGCTGGGCTCCGCGCCGGGCAGGGCACAAGCGGCTCTTGTTTGTTCCTTGGCGTCTGATGAGCGCTTCCCATCCCTCCATTTGGCCTCAGGCAGGAGGTGCCACCGCCCACCGCCGAGACCCACAAACCGGTCGGAGCTGCTGCTGGCTTGCCGCGGAGCAGAGATGGTGCTGCCTGGGGCGAGGCAAGGGGCAGACCCCAAAACCCTGATCACCGTCCCACAGCCGACATTCACATAGCAGCCCCTGGCCCCAGCCTGGGCTTAGCTGGACCAGGCACACGGTACCGAGATGCCAGCATCATTCTGCAACCACCCCAAAGTGCCTGGGTGCCACGGCGGCACCGAGTGGGGACTGGGGTGCTGAGCACAGAAGGCCACATGGTGCTGGGGGCATTTTGGCACAGCCAGCTGTGCCCACCGGTGGACACCAATACTTTGGGCTCTGCCTGACCTCCCCCCTTTTAATCCCCAGCCCCTGCACACATCTCCTGCCTGTCCCCTCCAAAGTCCCCCCCATCTTGTGCAGAGGCACAGCCTGAAGCCAGACAGCCTGCAAGGACAGACAGGCAGGCAGTGCATCGTTCCCTCTCCAGCTTAATCTCTGGGAGAGATAACACGGCCTGAGACTATCTTTGTTTTTCCAAGCACACAGGCACTGGGTGGATAAGGTATCAGGAAAGCCCCGTGGGGCTGCATTGGGGGTGGAAGAGCCAGCCCCCACCAGGTGCTGCATCCTCTAACCTGCCAAGAAGCGGGATGGTGGCTTGCTGATATGATATAATTGCTTGTGCTACTTGTTCAGCATGATGGGCTCTTGAGCCACCTCTGACTATGTTGGGGCGTTTCTGGGCTCTTGTATGGAGAAGGCTCCTGCTCTACCACACAGCCCCACTCACGATGGGACGAGCCGTGGCCATGGCGAGGAGGTGACAGCAGCCTTGTGGTCCATGCAGAGTGGTGCCACGAGGATGCCACCAGCACTGTGGCTGGGGACACAGGTGTCCATGCAGGCAGGGCAGAGCCCAGGCACTCAGGGACACTTGGGTCTCGCTGCAGAGCCCCCGTCCGATCCCTGTGCTGTTTCAGGGGAGCCACTCAGATGCTGGGCTGCTCCGGGGTGCTCCCGTGTCTGTCCATCCATCTGGAGCACCCACATTGCTGGCATACCAGAGCACCCACCCTCGAGCCAAAGGGCCAAGCGCCACAGTCAGGGCTCCCTTTAATCAGCGGGGCGGCGGCAGGGACCAGAGCATCCCCCGGCCGGGGCACCCTTCCAGGGATGCAGCACCAGGGCCGAATCCTGCCCCAGGCTGGATGTGGCTTCGCTGCCCAGCCGGCTGCTCTAACCACACCGTCATTTGGGGTTGGAGGCAGGCGCACACACATGCATGCACACACCTCATTGCACAACCTTGGCCCATGTGGGACGTGTCCCCACAGGTGCCTCCGGGCTGGGGACAAATGGCAAGGTGGGGAGCGGGACATTGCCACGCGCAGCGCATCCAGCGCCTGCACTGAGACAGGCACGGGGCAGCTCGCCCTCACCCGTGGAGCTAAAGCAGGCGCCAGCGTGGCCGTTTGACAGCTGATTACTGTAATTAAAGCCAGAATGTGACATGTCCTCAAAATGGTGTCTGTCACCAAGAAACAGCCCTCGTGCCCTTCCTCACGTCTCCCAGCCAACACAGCCAGCCCCGTGTCCCCAGCACTGCCGCAGAGGCCAGCAGGACACATGGACACAGGGCTCAGCGGGGAGCAGCGGAGCTGACCCCTGCAGCAGTGTCCCACCTCACACTGCGCCAGAGGATGCCACCCGACTGGGGACACAGCCTAGCTGGACTTCAGGGAACTCCTCCACACCAAAACGGGGTGCTCAGTCCGTCCTGGGGTTTTGCCTGGCACCAATTGAGTGTGGTTGCCTTGCCCCGAATCCCATGGGATTCGCAGGTCAGGGAGGACTGAGCTGCTGTCCTCATTCCAGTGCACCCCAAAGGGCTTGGAGAGGGCAGAGCTCACCTCCCATGGTGGCTTAGAAAACGCTCCCCATGGATCCCCCTTGCTGCGGCAGGACAGAGACGTGCTGCATCCCCGTGCGGCCACCTTGGGGCAGGGACAGGGGACCAGGCATTAAACCTGCAGTCACTGCAATGCTCGGCGCTGGTGGCACAGAGGGACTGGCACAGTCCCTGACCTTGTGCCAGGCAGAGGACACCCTGCAGGGACAGGACTGGCAGATGTCCCTGTGTGGATCACGCGTAGCAATTCCCCCTCTCCCTTGCCCCCGCATTCACTCCCAGTGCAAGACCTCGCCGCACCAGCACCACAAATACCTCGAGATCCCAAAAAGACAGGCGGAGGGGAGCCGGGCAGGGCCGGGAGCTGCAGCGGAGCTGGCGCAGAGCTGAGCAGCCTCTCCCCAGGGCGCACACGGGGCGGCGAGGGATTAGTTACCCACATGCCGCCACGCTCATTGGAGACTCAATGTTCCCAAAAAGTTCTTGCCTGACATAAACTCCCTGACCGACTGCAATGTGCACAGTAAGGTTGTTTTCCTCTACCTGAAAGCAAAGGTTTATTAACTCGCACAGCCCAGACAGACGCTCATGGAAAGCACCGTGCAAGGGAGCTGAGGCCAGAAACAGGACCTTTAGTCTCGAGTCACCGAGAAAATAAAATCCCTATGCATTCGCTGAGCAAAAAAAGCAGCCAAAAATGGGCAAAAGCACTGGCGAGTCAAAGGGATGTGTGAGCTGACGGTCACGTGCTGGGAAGGGGACACCTCTGATGTGGCATGGCAGGTGTAAGGGGGGGTCCGCACATGGGTGATGTCTGGGGGGGGTCATGCCCTCAGCAAAGCCTGGGCAAGACAAGGAACCGCTCAGAGCCCATAGGGGTGGGGGTGTCCCGGGTGTGCTGAGATTCAGGGTGGCTGGGGCGTGCCACCAGCCCCCTGCCAGGCCCCACCGGCCAGTGCCCCGCGGCCCCGGCACCCTGCGTGCGGTGCTGCCGGCAGCCCCGTCCCCGCCCCGCCGCCAGACAGAGCTGCCATTGATGCTGGAGCCGCCTTACCTGCTCCCCGCCGCCGCCGAAGGGGCTTCAACAATGGGACGCCTGTGTGCCCTGGCCGGGGCAGATCCTGCAGCCCCGCGCCTGAAATATAAGCAGGTGAGGCAGCACTCACCGCCCCAGCACCGCTGCCCCGGGGGGGAAGGCGCCGGCCCTGCCGCGACCACAACCAGGGGGAACACCCCAAGCCCCGCGCTGGCCGTACCGCGCACGTGAGCGGGATGCGGCCCCACAGTGCCAGGGGCAGTTTCTGCTGTCACCTCCTGCTGTCACCCGCCCTGCGGCAGCTGGAGCTCCTGTCCAGTGCGAGATACACATGGGGACAGGAATGGGGACAGGTCCCCTGGGCCACCTGCAGTGGCTGTCCCCCTGCCAGTGTAGGTGCTTGTGGAGAAGGGCCACCACCACAGTGATGCTCACACACCCCTCAGTCTGGCCTTCACTCAGGGTCACATCCGTCCCCATGTCACCATGAGTCCCCCCTTTGTTCCCACCACAGGGACCCGCTGCGGGTGATGCACCCCCTCACTTCCCAGCAGCAAGGAGAGAGAAGAGGGGCTTCATGCACATCTGGGACCCCACAGGGATGCCAGCCCCCTCGGCTGTTTTGGGTAAACACCAGCAAGCCAATTCCTTGCCACAGGAATGCATCCTAAAGTGTGCGGCGGCCAGCACCCCGAAACCCCGGTGATTTGCCCCTTCCTCCGCCGTGAGTCAGGCAGCCACCACTGCCCCAGGCCGGTAGCGCAGCGCGAGCGCAGCCTGTACTTTGGGCAGTTTGGGATGATGAGGTGGGGAGGCAGCGCGGCGCGTGGGGGCTGATTGCAGGGCCAGGAGACCCGTCACCCCGGTCCTGACCCGGTGGCCCCAGCCCCACAGCTCTGCGAGGGGTATCCCCCTGCCCCACGGCCCTGACCTAGGTGTTTCCCCTGCACCTGCGCAGCCGTGCGTGCACCGCTGGGTGCTTGTTTGCGCACACACTGCCGGCATGCGCATGTGTATGTGTGCGCGTGCACTGCCTGGCAGTACTTCTGCTCCTCGTTGTGCCTGCGCTGTCTGGCGCGTGCACCCAGGGCTGCATCTGGGGCACATTCCCCTGTGGGTGTGTGCACTTGTGAGGGTAGCTGTGCGTGTGCACAGGTGTGCAAGCACCCATGTGAGCACGTCTGAGTGTCAGGGTGTTTGTGATTCTGTGTCTGTGTGTGTACCTGTGCGTGTCTGTCTGCGCATGTGCTTGTGTACCTCTGCGTCCATCCGTCTGTCTGTGGCTTTGTGTGTGTGTGTGTGTGTGTGTGTGTGTGCCTTTGTCTGTCCGTGTCTGTCTGTCTGCCTCTGTGTGTCCGTCTGTCTGTGCAGCCATGTGTCTGTGCATCCCAGCCAGCAGGGGGTGCGTGTGTTTGGGTGTGTGTGCATTGTCCCCCATGCAGCCTGCACCTGTGCACCCCTGCATTCCGGGGCCGCAGCCGGCAGAGCTTTGCACTGCCAGCACCTGGCTGTGTGTCCCCGGGGTACCCCAGCCCTGTCACCACTGCCACCTGCCCAGGGACATGCCCGTCTGTGCTGTGCTTTGTCACCCCGAGGGCTGGGCCCCCCCAGCAGCACCTCACCAGGTGCAAGCCCCTTTGCGTGCTGCTTGCACAGAACCCCCCAGCACCCCGGGTACCCGGCCCAGCCACCAACACCAGCACGCCGTGGGGTGCAGTGGGGTGCCGTGGGGTGGCAGGCTGACCCTGCTGCATAAGGGGTGTCAGGGTGCCACGGGGTGGTGGAGGTCAGGCACAGGGTGCCACGGCACAGCACAGTGCCAGAGGCACCCAGGCACAGGCCACTGGAGTGCCGTGGGGTGGCAGGAGCTGACCCAGCCAGACTGGGGGTGTCGGGGTGCTGCGGGAAACAGCTGGGTCAGGGCCCCCTGCCTTTGGGGTCCTGGCTACTGGAGCGGGGGGGGTTGTGATGCAGCACAGGCTGCCAGCACCCGCTGCGCACCGCGCTCTTGAGTAGTTAATGAGTTGTAGGGGGGCCCTCGGCAGCGGCCAGGAACAGGCTGGAGCAAGCCCGCGGGCACTCACTCAGCTGCAGAGGAGGGGGCAAGCGCATTCCTGGGGTGGGGGGCTGGAAATACCTGCAGCACTCTGGTCAAACAGCCGTGCAAGGGCTGGGGGAGCCGCATGCACAGTAACACCCCACTGCCTTGGGGTGGCTCTTTTTGGGGACAGTGAGCCCCAGGATGTGACTGCTCATGGGACGACCACGCCTGGGCAGCCAGCCTGTGCCTGCCTTGTTTTTCTGTCGCCGGTTGCTACTCAGCCAGGCCTGCCAGGTGGATGGGGTGACGCTGCCAGAGTGTTACGTGCTCTGTCTGCTTCCTTCAAGGACAAAACATTTGAGCAGGATGAGTAAAGAGGTTTATCACCTGGCCAGGGATCCCAATGGGCACACCCTGCCCAGCACGTCCCACGTTACACAGGGGGGATCGGGGGCTCAGGACAGGGGGATGGGTGGAAACGGGGGCTGTGTGGGGTCGGGGCTGCGTGGGGACTGCCAGCATGGGGTGCGTTGTGGCGAGGCAAAGGGGCTGCACTTTGTACGGTGATGCAAAGGTGCCTGAGTGCACCCTGCTCTCACTGAGCCACAGTGAGATAAGAGGCAATCTGCAAGCGGATAAAAACCCCAACAAGGCTGTAATCTTAAATAAACTCCCTTCCTTTTGGACACTATGTTAAACGTGAGATCTGATAAGGTGCTCCAGAAATACAACAGACTGTGACCTACAGCATCCCTGCTGAAGAGGCTGGGCTGCGGGAGTGACGGCTCCCACCCATGCCGTGCCGTATCAGTCATGCTGCCTGGTATAGGGGCCCGGGCTAGGATCTGGCCATGGCCATGTCCAGCATGTAAGCACAGACGAGGGATTTCCAGGCATTTCCAGGCCCTGCTGCCTTTAGGAAGGGTTGTGAAGGGGCAGTGGTGGATGTGGGCTCCCCAAAAGGCACCGAGGTGCAGGGTGGGCAGCAGGGCTGGCACTCAGAGCCCATGGACGTGCACCGCAGCCCATCCAGCTCCTTGTCCGGGCTTCCCAGTGCCACGCCGTGGTCTCCAGATTGCACCCATCCAGACCCACGCCCCGAAACTAGGCCTCTGCCGGCAGTGGCCATCTCAGGTGGCTTCTCCCCCTCCCTCCCCTGCGCCAGCGCCATCTCTGCAAACAAAGGGGAGGGTGTGGGACGCTGCGACCGAGCCAGTGGCGAGGAGCGTCCGGCGGTGAAACCCCACCCCGGGCGGGCGCTGAGCGAGCGCAGCCCGGCCCCGGCCCCGCCAGCCCTTATAAGCACAGGTGCACCCAGGTGTAAGCCGATCCCCAAGGCTGCAGCGGCGAGCGGAGCCCGGGGTGGTTTCGGTCAGTGGGTTCCTTTCCGCCATCGCCTGGGGCGCGCTGAGCCGGACACCATGTCTATGGGGCTGGAGATCGGTGGGGTGACCCTGTCGGTGCTGGGCTGGCTGTGCAGCATCATCTGCTGCGCGCTGCCCATGTGGCGGGTGTCGGCCTTCATCGGCAACAACATCGTGACGGCGCAGATCATCTGGGAAGGGCTGTGGATGAACTGCGTGGTGCAGAGCACGGGCCAGATGCAGTGCAAGGTGTACGACTCCATGTTGGCGCTGCCGCAGGACCTGCAGGCCGCCCGCGCCCTCCTGGTGGTGGCCATCGTGCTGGCCGTGCTGGGCCTGATGGTGGCCATCGTGGGCGCCCAGTGCACCCGCTGCGTGGAGGACGAGACCACCAAGGCCAAGATCACCATCGTCTCCGGCGTCATCTTCCTGCTCTCCGGCATCATGACCCTCATCCCCGTCTCCTGGTCGGCCAACACCATCATCCGGGATTTCTACAACCCGCTGGTGCTTGAATCGCAGAAGAGGGAGCTGGGCACGTCCCTCTACGTGGGCTGGGCAGCCGCCGCGCTCCTGCTCTTCGGGGGGTCCCTGCTCTGCTGCTCCTGCCCCCCCAAAGATGAGAGGTACGCGCCCAGCAAGGTGGCCTACTCCGCCCCACGCTCCGCCGTCACCAGCTACGACAAGAGGAACTATGTGTGAGCCCCCACTTCCCCGCCCCGGCCCCCCGAGGGGCTCGGCCACCCGCACCCCCACCTCCAGCCCCGTCCGGCGGGATCGGTGCCACCAGGGACCCTCCGCCCCGCGGGCCGGGGAGAGACCCCGTCCCCGAGGGCACCCCGACCCCGGCGAGAGTGGGCAGAGGTGGGGGGCGATGGGGGGGGGGCAACGGGAGAGGTCCTGGGGTCAGGGCTGGGCCGCGGGAGCGGGAGCCGGGCGGGCGGCTGTGTAAATACAGACGGTTTCGTGTAAACAGAGCCAGTTTCGGGTTGCCAGGAGAGCTCTTCGCATGAGCGCCAGGAGGAAGCGGCGGTGCCCCTGTGCCCTGCCCCGCCAGCCCCCGGCCCC